TTGATGAGGAGCTGTCTGGTTTTAGTTTTAATAAAACATTAATAAAAATAAATTCTGAGTTCAGAATTTTCATAAACTTTAGCTTGATTGGTTGTATTCTTTCATATAGCTTCCTTGGAAATCTCGGCCTCACCTTCGAGTAGGATGGGAAATTTGGTTAGATTTTACGATTAATAACAATAGGCTAAGGCTATGGTAAGATAAAGATAAGACACACTTTAGTTTATAAATAGTACAAACAGACGTAAATACGAAGAGATCTTGATAGATCTGAACGAATTCTATAAATAGTCTTAAAATCATCATGTGGATTTGAGTTGACTAAACGTCAAAAGATAGAACCCATAATCTCACCATATAAATGAGTTTAAAAGAGATATATTGGAACGTTAGCATAATAGTTCCAAGTCATTTACAATCTTGGCTTATTTGAAAAGTACCTTTGAAGTTCTAGAGAAGAATTTATTCATGAAGATTCAATCCAAAAACGGATACATTTTCAGATATCCTTAAAAGCCAAGTGTTGAGATTTCTGAGAACAGCATTAGTTTGAAGAAACTCTATATTATCTTTTCCATTGCTTATCTGACTCTTGGATATTTCAGGTATGAACTGCTACTTTGATTCATCTCAATGTCAATCAGTTAGTTTACTTACTCTTGTTCTTCAGATCACTTTGACTAAACAAAGCATAAACTTTCTAAAGAATGTAAGTTAGTCAACGACACTCATGTCAATTAGTTACTTATTCATAAGTCATTAATCATAATAACATAACTCTGTGAAACTTTATTTCATGAGGCGTTGCTTCAGTTTATGATTCTGTTTTTCTTATTTATTAAACATTTCAATACAGATTTACAGATTGTATAGTTTGAATTATTGAAGCATACACTAATGAAGAATAAGAGAATTACTTCACAGATGATTAACTACATAATTCTAAATGTTTAGAATACCAAAAACAGATATGATATGATTGTTAACTTATAGAGAAAATTCTTCAGTTCTATTTCATCCTAACCTGGTTAAAAGTATCACATGTTGGCATGGTAAAATTTATGCTTACAACCCTCTTTCTCTCAATTTTACATCATGATTTTTCTTACACCATGGTAACACTACGTCTTAAATTCATTTTGTATTGTTTGTTTGAATCTTCTCAATGATGCTTGAGACTGTAATTAATCAGTCTCTTGTTGGTATATGTGCATACTGTGAGGATTGCTTCAATTATGCTTCAAGTCACAAGTATTATGAACAAAGGTGGATTGCGGGTATGTAGAACTCTTCACCTGGATATATCTGCATTTCAGAGTTAATATTCACCCCAAGACTCGAACCAAGTACTGTTCATTTGAAACACCATCGTGTTATTAACTTAGCTTTTTGGTCTTGATAGCCATGTAGGATGGAACTCGCATCCCGGATTCCGCTGCTATCCATCATTATTCTTTGCTAACAATATGTCTGTCAATATTGACTATTGTATTTGCTAAACGATCAAGAGCTTACCATAATATTCTAGAAATTTACCCAAATTATCAAATCAATAGGTCAGCGGATGATTGGTTGAAACTACCGTTAATCTTTGTAAGCAACTAAGGAGAATCCATGAAATAAATGAACTAATGTTATTCTCCTACTATATTTTCCTTTGTTTATTCCAGTTTATAAATGGGATAAGTTATATGGAAAAAATTAGAATTTTGACAGTTGAACTCATGGGGCGAGTTAAGCTAGACCACCATTGGAAACCTGGGAGCACTGGACGGTTGCCTCGTTTTACTACGATACCCCTTAGCAGTGCACAACCACTATCTCAAACTCGGTATTCTAACCTTCATTCCCACATACGAATGACTAGCCTCTTAACGACTGAGCCAGTTTTCAGAGCTGTTAATGTCTAACTTCGATCGATCTATAATCTTTCTCATTCCTTCATTCATTGTCTGAGATGGATAGCTGCCTCACACCGGATTCGCACTTTTAAAGAGTCCAAGACTAGGATAGGAAGGCCGTCCAGTGCTTTCAGATTCTCAATAGTGATCTAACTTTGATCGATTCATCAATTCAATTGTTGAAATACCACAATCTCCACAAACCCACATATTAATAAGTAAGAATGATTGAGAAATAATTTACAAAATGATTTTTTGATAAATTACAGTTGCTACAGATAGCTTATGTTTGGACAAAACTAATTGAAAATACAATGTAAGTGTTACATCTTGCGACCGCCAATTAGGGAGCAGTGACTTATCGATCGGACCAATGACACGTAGTCCCGTATGAGCAGCTTAGAGTCCTGACTGGTCTCGCTTCCTGTCTAGCTCAGCCAATTAAGTCCAGAACACAAATCTCAGCCTCTGCAATATGAATCATTATATTTCAAACATACTGAGTTTATATACCAATCAAACAGACCACAACGTACCAATAAAATATGAAATAACATTTGTACAATCTTTAGCCAAAAGTGGCTGTGAATAGGGGAGATAGTAATTGATAGACAGGACATAATTCAAGAATGGTAAATCGTATAATAATAGTTCATAAGTCAAATTAAATCTTATAATAAGAGGAATATGAATATACATAGTTTAGTTACTTAACGATTATACAATAGAAATATACATCTAGTATTGGTCCATCAACAGATCCCAAAAGTTATCATTCATTACTCTTGTCGAGTCATAACAGTGAGTCATTGTATCATTTTGTTAAGAAGAAATCAAGCTGTCGTTTTAGTATCTATGCCGAAATGTTCATTCTATGTTGTTTTTTTGTGGATAACCTCGGTGAAAATACTCTAATTTGTATTTCAGTAATAACATTTATGGTTACTTGGATTATTTATCATTGTTTCTGATTAGTTAACTTTGTTAATATTCCTCGAAATAATCGCATGTTACTATAGAGAAAGAATGATTCCTTTTACTAAGTTTTTTGTTCTTACCACTGTATGGAATGTAAAGTTACCTTCAAAGTCCTGTGTTCAAAATGGATTATGTGAATCATTAATGTTGATAGGTTATTGTATGATGGATGATTGTATTAGATAAATGCGCTACCGTTCACAAATAGAATTATACATAGGTCAATTGTAAACCTTGTCGTTTTTTAGCGAGTTAGTTTTCTACGGGATGGGGTCGCTAACCCTATGCCCAACTCCCCTTCTTTATCCGGGCTTGGGACCGGCAGTAGCCCCCGGAAGGGCTCCAGGTCGAGTCTGAAGTTAAACAGTTATTTTGATTAAATCATATTATGGAGATGAACTAGTCAGCATCAAGCAAGCTACATTCGAGTTTTATACAACATTCAAAACTGAACGACTTTAGTTTTAAGTTACATGAAAAACTAAGTATAGCTACCTTTGTGTAAAGCTCCATATATTGGAAAATGGTAACAGAAATTCTTTTTCTTATCATATAGTGGAAAAGACAGTGATGATGTTATCGAATGATTTCTTTCAACTGTGTAGATTTGATGTAACGAGAGAATTGTGGAGTTATCATGACAATTCGCTCCAAAAAAGCCTCTTCATCTACAGTTCAATGAATAATAATTGAGACAGTACCACCACAGAAGTGCTAAAACAGATAATTATTTTCACATATGACTTTCATTCATCATTTGTTTTATCATTCTAAGTCGTTTCAGTGAATATAATGATGAATATTGTGTTAGTGACGGTGAATTGTCAAGAAAGCTACGCTTAGCTATGAGACGTAGTCAGGAACTAACTTTTTAAATGAATAGTTTTGTATGCAGAATAATGGGGTTATGTGATATTATATTTTTACTGTATACGAATAGGAGTATTAATCATAAGCCTTGAAAAACTAATGAACTACATGAAGTGATCAGTCTCTATGATGTTTCATTAGTTCTGTTGTAAAAACAAACTTGTAATTAATCTCATAGAGACTTAGTAGTAATGAGATCATTTCAAGAATCCCTATATTGCCGTTGCAATAGTTATATTTTTCGTTTATAATAAGATCACTCATCAGAATCTTGATACGATATAAGAACTGTACATTGAATACTTCATTTGCAAATTTCTATCATTTCTACATTACATTATTTATGATTCTTACAGTTCATAAACCCTTTCTATTTTTCGTTCTATTCTTCTAAGCTTGATCTCCTTAGTGTTCTTTTGCCAGGTTTTCCACTTCCTATCGATGTTACATGCTACTTATGTCGACAAACAAGAATAGTATACACAACAGCTGAATACTTTTCTGTCTCTTGTTCTTTGTTTTTCTTATTACTGATCTATTCTTGCTAGAGAAATTTTGGTAACCATAAAACAATAGATATTCCGCTCTAACTTAGAGCTCATTAAAAGCTTTTCTTCAAATGATATCGAACACTCAGTCTCTAGGTCTTCAAATATAAACTATGAAAATAAACCAATGATACACAATTTAATAATTCGTATCTTCATATTATCACTCTCCTTGATTGTCTATTACACATAGTTATCTTCTTAGAATGTTTATAGCAGCATATATGATAAGGGTATCTTCAAAAATGATGATTTGACCTACCATGAAATAACAAACATTTTACTATAAATTGAATACAAACACGAAGTCTAGCCTTGGTCACTTCTGATAGAAATGTACAACAATCAATCATCTGTTTGCTAAGTAACGAATGATTAAAATGTAAGATTGTTGAAGCGAATTGGTATATAACTTGAAACAAAAATTTTGCCCTAGCTCACACCCGCTAAACTGAATTATATGTAGTATAGAAAGTACAGATTATTTATATATCATTCGAACAAATGTCCCCTAGTGTCATGGTCAAAAAACGTTGTAATTCAGCTATAAAATCCACGACTAACCTCTTTCAAGACTGGCACCGATATGTAGCTAAATAATGAGCAACGTCATGCTGATTGACTTGTTTTCTCTGTGTTAATAGTTACCTAATTAATTATAAATATCTGTTGATATAATCTTAACCTTTTAATTTATTTTTAGTGCCTCAATTGACGTTGTTATTGTCATTACTCATTTCTTTACTACTTATACAAATATCAGTAGCATCAAACAGTGAATCAAAACACTATCTTTTAATACACGGTCCAATGCATACGAATGTTCAGATTAACTCGACTGTACTATTGAGATGTCGTGTTCAACTTCAGATTCAAAATGATCTTAAAGAAAATCATTACAAAGTATTTCAGAATAGTAAATTGAGTAGTGAGGCATACTTTTCAGAAGTTTCTTCATCATCATCATCTACCGTACCAGGAACAGTTTGGCAAGTTATCAATCCATATTTATTGTCAGATAAGTTGGAAATCATTGTTCAATGGATGAAAGATGGATTTGGTTATGATCAAGATACGTTGAGACAAACATTTAATGGAAGGTATACATTAGTTGAATCTGAGGAAAAAGGTTAGTCATTGCACACGACTTTACTTTCTCTCAACACAATACACTTTTAATTTGTGAATTGGCTTATTCAAATATTTGTTTTACTCACTTTCATTGTTTATTTAGTCCGTTTGTTAATGATTTCAAGTTGCTTTTGAATACAGTTTTCAATATGATGACATACTGTCTGGCAATGTATTTGAAGTAAAGGACGAATTCTAAGCCGAACCCAAAATGAAATGTATCTATTGAGTTGAAATTTAAATGTAACATTCATTATTTTGATTATCATAAAGCTATCCTTCCAGCTATTTGATTTGTAACGAACATATTACTATCCATTTGATAAGATGATATTCAACATTGTAAACTCTTCTTAAATATTTAGATTGTAGAAAGAAGATCTGTTGCTCAATATGTTGATGTAGATGACATTAAACTCTCTGAGCTAATTTAATGATATGTTTCTACATAAAAATGGTCTCTTCTATGTTCTCTGTGTCGAGTGCTTAACTTCTTGATTGGATCTTAGGCAATTCAACTCCACCACAATCATCATACATCATCATCCATTAATTAATTGTATTGCTCAGAACCTGGATAATGTTTGTTTAATGCTTATATTATAGTGTCGCCACGAGCCTTGTTGTTCCATACTATAAGGTTTAATGTTCAGTGGTTGAAAGCAGTCAAGAGGAACGTGTAATCGCATGCTTTGTATTAGTTGACATTCATTTCTAATCTTGAGGGAACTAACGGTGGTTGTGAGATTAGCATAGGAACTAAATTACTATGTATGTTAAAAATTGTCTGAACTCTAAAGAATAAACAAACATAACACTGGTGTAAACGTCTCACTCACACAGTGCCTGATTAACTCGGTAGTAATTTCTCAGACTATGAAACCGGATGATCAAATTTGGAATCGCACATGGAGCATTACTATGGGTAATTTCAAACAGCACAAAGTCTAAGTAAGCTAAAGGTTCTTGTTTATTGGTTTTGATCGCATTAAATAAACTCCCTGATTGATGAATACTACAAATAAAACCTATATATTCTCTCGAATCAAATCATCTCTCCCTTTTAATTTAATGAAGTAAATTTTAGTCATTTTGAGAAGAACCACATTTGACACGGTCAGTAAAGAAACTCTCTATCAAAAACTGGATTTCAAGGGGGATATAGTAGGTGACATTTTAACAAGTTGACTCAAATGATCTGCTGAGAGGACATTACCTTACTCCAAGTTAAATATAGTCTCAGCCAAACCAGTACTTAAACAACAAATCAATGATAGGTTACCGATGATGGGCGCCTTCATGTATGTATACCATTTTAACTGCTCTTATGGACCTAGTTACATAGGTCGTACTCAGAACGCTTTATCCTTGTGTGCTCATGAACATGTACTAGCATGATTGGGATAAAGAGTCACTAGATCGGTTTATAGCCTTATTCTTTCTTACTTGGTCGATAGTGAACATCATAATAAAATTGGTCAAGCTTTATCCGTTTTGTAACAACTTCCAAATAATCCAACTAAATGAGCTAAATTATACAGTTACTTTACATAGTTGAAGCTATCTGAATCAACACTAGAAAATCGAACTTAAGTATCCAGAAATGGTATATCCAGCCTTTATGTTTACTGTGGTTAACAACTGGATGACAAATCTTCATTTGAAATTTGATAAGTTAACAATTGATCAAATGAAAACGTATAAATAAATAATTACTGAAAGAGAAAAAAAACTAACTTTAACCGGAACAAACAATACTACTTATTTGTGATTTCAAATAAACAACATAAAAATTCCGTTAGGTGGGGAAAAACAGTGAGAGGACAAAATATAAGAAGAAAAACAATGGTGGGTGGAGGAATAAAATAAAACAGCAACGACGTCAATAACAACGATGATGGTGATAATAATAACATCGACATATATATATGCTTATTTACATTTTACCAAATTTTAAGGATTGTTAGTGTTTACTAATTGTAGGCAAACATAACAGTGTATGTGTGTGTGAGAGAATGAATGTGTTGGGACTAGATGAATAAACAAGAAAAAAAATAGGTAAATAACTTCTTGATTGAGATCATGTACCGATTGATGTTAGACCACCATTGAAAACCTGGAAGCACTGGAGGGTCGTTTCGTCCTATTATGGGACTCCTCAGCATTGCGCATCCACGATCCCGCTATCAGGACTCGAACCCATGATCTTCAGTCTCGCACGCGAACGCTTAACCTACTTGACCGTTGAGCCGGTATCCAACGGTGTTAATGTCTAACCTCGAACAATCTACGAAATTGAGCGACCGTCTTCCATTCTACTGAGATAGATACTTGTCTCTACCCAACACGGAATAACTCTACTGGTCACGGGCTCTCACTAGAACTCCAAGAATTCCCTAACGAAGTTAGTCACTAATGAGTACATGGCAATTATCAGTATAGGGTTGTGGAGATTATTAATTTATTGATTGAGATCTTGAGCGCTGGGTTCGAATCCTGCGATCGGGATTGTGGATGCGCATTGCTGAGGAGTCCCAAAACAGGACGAAACGGCCATCCAGTGTATTCAGGTTTTCAATGGTCAAGATCCTAATCAATAACTTATTAATCTCCATAACGTTATACTGATAATTCATGTATTCATCAAGTTTCATAATGAGAGGTTTCAATATTGAAGCTTCCTTGTTACTTTCATTAAAATGATGAAAACAGGTATTAATCAACTTGAATTTTGTTTTTCAAAAGTATCTTACATAATTCTTATTTGTTCTATTATAGATGTATATGATTTAATGATTAAAAATATACGTTTTGAAGATGAAGGTGAATATGCATGTCAAGCTAGATTGATAAAAAAGACAAATTCTCAATATAGACCATATTATTTATATCAATTTGTTAATCAATCAAAATTTTATCAAAAATCAATAAAATCGAATATAACCAATCACTTTGATTCATCAATAGATGATTTATTTCATTTACCAATGAGTTTAATTAAAAGTAATACCGCATACTTAAATGTTATTGGTAAGTTAACAATGAAATAATGTATGGACTATATTATATCAATGGTTAGTTATCTCTGAATTGTTGTCTTAAATTTAATAATTCTGTTGGGATATTCAGGAAAATATCCCAGAAATTATCCTGTTTAGCCTAATGCTATTCTTGGACTTGAACATGGTGTTATTTTCTTATTGGTCAGTACTTATTTCACGTGTCATTTTCCTACTGGCCAATATTGTACAATGTTATTTTCTATTTTATGGTACGTTGTGGTTTGCTTGACTGGTATATAAACAAGGTATGTTTGAAATATAATGATTCATACATCCGAGGCTGTGACTTGCGTTCTGGACTCAACTGCTGGGCTAGATAGGGAAGCGGGACCAATCAGAACCCTAGGTCGTTCTACGTGTCTGCGCGTCTTTGGTCCGATCGATAATTCGCTACCCTCAAATCTGCTGCTACTGTCTCACAGATATAACAATTGGCGACGGGGTGAAAAAAACAACAATCCAAGTCATTCTGTAATTGGACGAAATCCAGTCTGATTATTCAACCAATCAGCATCCAGATTGTCGTCACTGTCCTTCAACGACATTGGTCATTATTCATACAGTAATTTTCATCACAGGTGCTGATTCGAAAAAAATGACTCTCCCTTCCGATCGATTACAGCTGCTCTTTGAACGACATTTGGAGTTATTAGTCAAATTCCGCACGCAGCTGCTAAATCATTCACGCTATGAAGATGCGACGGAAGTGGACGGATTGATATCTGAGTTTCACAGTGAGCTGGAAAATGACAGCCTCCATGAATCCTCGATGAGCTGTACTTCAAACGAAACAGTCGTCCATGATGCGCCCGGTGGTCCAGTACTTTCTATTCCAGAAACATGCCCGGTAATGGAGTCAAACTCCATCATCCCCGAAACAGCATGTACAGACAGTAGCATATCCAGCTCACGAAAAGATTCTCTTGTTTTGCCAGAGAATGTGTCACATGCATCAAACAATGGTCAAAAATCTAATACAATTTTGATAGATGCTGTTTATTTTGGTAACGTATTATCCACTAATGGAATTTCGAAGAGATCTGATGGGAATGTTTCACAAGAATCAAACTCTAATGACCTCATATCGACTGTCGCTGATCCTCAGCATCTAGTCAGCTCTAGTGGACTCTCTACTCAATGCGGGAAATATGCTTTAAATAGAGTCACACTAACTGTTACTTGGGTATACGAGGACCCAACATTATTTCGCGGGTGAGGATAGACGCGAAAAAATTCAAAATCGCGATATCAACTCCGGATCTCCAAAACAGAGATGGAGGTGTTGGGATATTCAGGAAAATATCCCAGAAATTATCCTGTTAAGCCGAGTGTTATTCTTGGACATGAACATGGTGTTATTTTCTTATTGGTCAGTGCTTATTTCACGTGTCATTTTCCTACTGGCCAATATTGTACAATGTTATTTTCTATTTTATGGTACGTTGTGGTTTGCTTGACTGGTATATAAACAAGGTATGTTTGAAATATAATGATTCATACGTCCGAGGCTGTGACTTGCGTTCTGGACTCAACTGCTGGGCTAGATAGGGAAGCGGGACCAATCAGAACCCTAGGTCGTTCTACGTGTCTGCGCGTCTTTGGTCCGATCGATAATTCGCTACCCTCAAATCTGCTGCTACTGTCTCACAGTTATAACAAATTCATCAGTTTGTGAAGGTTTCTACGAGACAATTAGATGGTACCTGTTACTTCCAATGAAGCATAGGCAGCCGATCAGTATTCTCTAACCTACTCTACTGTAGGCTCTCCTTTCTAGTTCATTCTTCTCATGTCTGTCTCCGATTCTCGGTTTAATGTGTCCTTCAGTCTTCCTCTTCTCCATTGGTCTTGATGATTGCAAGGGAGGGCATGCGTTTTGACACAGTTAGGTGCTTTTCTCAGTGTGTGCCCTATACACTTTCAGCACTCCTTCCTATGCTGGAATCTGATTTGTTCTCACCCGCAGTAGGTTGTTGCTGATAGTGTCTGATCAACGGATTCGAAGTATTTTGTGTAGAAAACTGTTAATAAACACTTGTATCTTGTGGATGATGGCTTTCGTAGTTCTCCAAGTTTCCGCCTCCCCGACCTTTGTGTTGGTCGACAGTTGTTTTGACTTCCGAATTTTCTTCAGTTGTAAATACTCTGCTCTTCCTCTGCCGATCCGCACCTTCACATCTGCATCGGATCCACCGTGTTCATCAATGATTCTGCCCAGATATGTAAAGGTTTTTACATCTTCTAAATCTTCTTCGTCAAGTGTGATTCAATTAGTGCAAGATGTGTTGTATTGGAGAATCTTGCTTTTCCCTTTTGTGTATGTTGAGACCTGATGCTGCTGAGGCTGCTGCTACAGCTTCTCCGTCAAGTTTGATTCAATTGGTGCATGCTGTGTTGTATCAGAGAATTTTGCCTCATCGTTTGTGTACTGTTGACACACACTGGTTGTCTTTTCCAACATATATTGTCGCGTATGTGACAGAAGATCTAGATCATCTGCGAAGTCTAGATCGTCCAGCTGCTTACTAAATGTCCACTGTATCCCATGTTTTACCCCAGATGTTGATGTCTTGATGATCCAGTCGATAATCAGACTGTAAAAGCAATTAAATTTTAGATGGCAGATTTATCTCTTCATATGTGAATAGAATATCGAGCTTGATAATCAAATATTATTTTATCATATTATTTAAAACGAAGAAACTCGACAATAACTTAACATCAAATTAGGGTGTATTAATACAATGGAGTCAGACAGACTAGAGACTAATTGAAAAATCAAACATGATGTCAAGTTCCTCTTGAACTGTGTTGGTTGATAATTCACATTGTGACAAATATTGAGGTGCGATGTTGAATAATTGTATTTAAATGTTTATATGTGTCAAACTTATTGAGAGGATAACACAAAACTAGTCTGCAACAAATAAGTTTAATTATATCTTAACTAATCTATTCTGTTCATTAAAAATTCAGTTCACTCTTTTTATTTCCCATCATTGTCCTAGATCTCTCATTATCTAGTATTTACGAAAAGCAAGTTTCTAAGCTGGCATCAGAATTACGTAAAAGATTAATTATGTAGATTTATATCTGATTTGACGGTAAATTATTGTTGAAGGAACATGAGTAATATCACGTACGAGAAAATTTGCAAATGAATAACTTCGAAAGAAAACTAAGCCAAATATTCGATAAGACACAGGTAACATTTACGTTTAGTAATTAGAGTCATGAACAACAAACACTTAAACACAAGGGTTAATTCAAGAAATTCGAGAATGAATGTAGTTAACAAGAGATGCTTAAAATATTAAAGAGATTCTACTATTGAAGGAACTTATGTCCTAGTGATTGAATGTATTTGAAATCTGTTAAGTATAAACCATATATGTACAAAAATATAGGATTACGAACAATTGGACATTAGCGATGTATATCACAATACATTTTATTTATTTATTTTAACACATAGATATCGGTACAAGGAGGTACCAAATAGATATGCGCCACGCAAATCTCATTCGATATGTGTAAGGGCTGTGATACTGCCCAGGTGCCCAAAACGAAGCAGGTGGTTTTCTCAGACTGCCACTCCCCGAGCCTTTGACCTGAAGTTGTGATCCACAAGGCAGTGGAGCATCGTAAGGAGATGCAGTCCCATCGTAGCCGGTGACCAACAATTGGTTCATACGCCATGTTTTCCTTCAGGATACTAGAGCCCATGTGCACCATGGGTTTGGGATCCGGTTAAAGCTCCGAAATTTGCTTTTTGTCCTCTCATTTTCGTAAACAACACCACTGCTACGAGAAGGCAGTGAGTAGGACTTCCCTGGCAGAGGCTATATACGGGTGACCATGTGAGAACATTTCGAGAGGGAGAGCGGACTCTCTCCACTCTCGACCGTACCAGGGCCGTACCTTACTCATCACAACTAAAAACGTATGGAATGAAGTTAATTCTGAAACTGACAAATTCACTAAATAACTGTTGACAAACAAAAGTAGTTTGCCTAAATTTATCAAATAAGCAGAATTAAGGGTACAGAACAGCATTTATAAGTGGAGTATCAACAGTATCGTACAAAATGAATGTAGATCTTAGTTTTGTCTTCGATAGAATTGCGGGTGAGCGGTGTTGAAGATTAATACACTTTGAACAGAACAGATTTTATCATAAAATAGAATGAAATTTCGGCTTAGTGATCTTTAAATTTGTTTTTCTTTTTATATCAGCTATAAATGAAACTGTTTTCAAATTCATTGACTTCACTGACAGCATCTATTTAAAAAGATTCATGTAACTATTCAACTCTTATTGAAGTAATGTAGTGTCGGTTATTATGTTAAGCCCATATACCTTATTCTAGCTTTCGGACAGCCCATTCTATACATCCTACTTGAGTCACATTCTGACCTTGTTGATAATTCGCTTATCAATCTTGACTGTTTTTATATGAGCGCATAGGTGTGTGTACATTTCTTATCCCATTACTCATCACATGTCTGTAACCTATTTTTGTGTGCCTATAAATATTGATTAACGCTTGACCAAAGAGGAGTTGGCTTACCAGCCGTCTCTACTCCGTGTCGTTTTGCTTCGTTCTATTCCATTCGCTTCATATACAAAATATATGTATTCACATGTCCATTCTCGTTATTCAACTTATTTAAATCCATTATTGACTAACGCGATTTAAGTCGATGATTATAAACGAGGATAGGCGAAAACAAACATTCATACGATCTAATTGGAGTCAGATTTTGGGCCACTAAAGTAGAGAGCCATTTCAACAACATCGTTCAATCTAAATAACGACAAAATAACGGGCCTCCACAAAAGTAACGTTACATTTTGTAGTAATTAAGTAACTTTTGTTACTATCATTCTAAATACAGATAGTGATACAAAGTCATTATTCACCATTTCACATTCAATCAATTCCATAACGATCACAACAATAAATTGCCGACGATTTCTAAGAAATAGATGACTGATTATTTACAGAAAATAAAAATATCCTCTACTGTAACTGATAATTATGTTATTCTCATGAGTATAAACATTATTTACTTGTCTAAATGGGTCAAACAAAATTAGTTAGTCATTTAGTCTATAGATGTTGTGTATTATTCAACTAATCTAGATTAGTGTGAAATTATGCATCTCAGTGATAGGTCTTCACTCACTTACCACTCATTCACTCACTTATGTAAGACCACCCTAACTTGACTACTACAATACACATGGATAATATGGTGAGATTAGGTCAACCTAGTTCAAATCTATTAGATAATATTATTATCTCACCTCTTAAATATAAATAATATCAAGTTATATTTATTTGCCTGAAGGAATTTAATGTATTAACTTGCATTAAATACAGTATGATAGATATTCAACGTCCATTATATTACATCAAATGTTATGAACTCCATCAACTGACATATATGTTTTTATTTATGATTTTACCTCATGAAGATATAATGAAGACTGGAAATATCCTAGAGACATATCAGAAATGATTTTAATGTAGTCAAATTCAAAATTAGGTAATCATTTATAAATCTGGATATTTTTTTAAAAAAAAAAGAATATCAAACATACCTATTTTATTGATGACATTACAGGTCTTTAGATTAACAAATCATAAGCATGATGAGTAGAAATGGATCTCTGAATTAAGACTTCATCCTATTATACAAGCTAGTGGCTATCTAGATTCAATAGTAAAGTAGATAATGCTATAGGGTTTGAAGGGAACGGTACTGGGTTAGAGTTACGGAGTGAACATTAGCTCTGGGATACAAGTACAACCAGCTGACGAGTCCGAAATAGAACGAATCGCTCATCCTGGATTTCACTACTTGCCACTATCTATTTCTGGGGATAAATTTTATTTATTAATGTTTGTATCTTTATATTCACACTAAGGAAAACAATTGATCAATCACTTTAAGGATATGTGCATCCTGAGCGTCTTGATATTACCAGAATTCACGGGATGTAAACACTCACAAGTTAACTTAGTATTCCGATCATGCTGAATGATGATATAATCCACTAATTCGGATGTATAATTACACGCCTATTCAGTTACCACTAATCGAAATCCTACATTAATTACTAATACTCTGCGGATTGCTAGTATAATTAACTCACAAGTGGTAACCAATTGAAGACATCGGTCTTTGTTTTCCTACTGATCATCCCTTAAGCACTTTATCATATGACAAATTATATCACCAAATTAGGCCACTCAGTAAAATTGTGGAAAAATAAAGATGTAATTTATAGAACTCGATCAGGATTTATGGATACAACTATATGACACTGATACTACTACTCAGTGATCAATCATTCCGTGTACTTTAAATACTGGAAACACTGATAAGTTATCATAAAACATGAAAAGTTGTCAGTTATTTCAAAGATAAGAACAGAATACTTGATTTGCATTAGTCTTCTAATTAATATTCATTCTTTATGGAAATGTCCACTATAGCGGTAAATATTATTGTTACCAAGTGTAAATCTACTTGCTCGTTTTAAAGTAACACTTGCTGCGTGACAATTAGTAAGCATGTTCTGTCTTTTAAATTAAAACACAATACCTTTAAAAGCTATATGAAATTCTAGTTGAAAGTTGAATTCAATAACCTTCAAACACTTAAAACGTGCTCAGCCACAATCCTGCACGCAGGAGTCGAATCCAGGATCTTCGATCTCACGCGTGAACTTTGTAATCTCTAAGTTTTTATCGGTGGTCTAACATCGATCCATTATCGAATTCAATCAAAAACTGAATAATCTACACAACCCCAGACTGACTAGCTTCATGAAGGAATTCTCGAAGTTCTAGTGAGAAGCTGTGACTAGTTGTGCTAATCTATGTCAAATAGAGACAGGTCTCTAGCTTAGAAAACGGAAGATGGTCGCACAATTTCATGGATTGGTTAAAGTTAGACATTAACACCTTTGAATGCTGGTCGGCTCAGTGATCTACAAGTTAACTGTTCGCACGTAATATCGAAGGTTTTGAGTTCAAATTCCTTCAGTGCAGGATCGTGAATGTGCACTACTGATGAGTCTTATACTAAAACTAAACAACCATCTAATACTTCAATGTTTTCAGTAGTGATCGAGCATTCATCAGTTTCACATTGATTATTCTTCCAATTTTTGTTTCTTCTTTAGTCCCTCCAAAATCAATAAATTTAAATATTTTATTGTATGAAAATGAAAAATATCGATTTTTCTACAATAATAATAATCAATTAAATGATCCTGTACAAAATAATCAATTAAATAATCAATCAATATGGATTCATTTAAATCAAACCATTCAATTTATATGTAGTACATCATCATGGAGTAAACCATTAGGACGATTATTATGGTACATAAATGATAGAATACTATATCAGATTAAAAATGAAAAGATAACGAATTATGATGTAACAAACTCATCATCATCGTCATCATCGACATCGACATCGTCAACATCATCATCGTCATCATCATCATCATCATGTCAACATATAAATGATTGTTTTCAAAAGAGAAAAGAATTATTCACTTGGTTAAATATGGAATTTTGTAATTTACAATATGGATGTCATATTATAAATAAAACACATAATTCAATGGTAATTGATCATTTTTCATATACTGGACAATTAATTGAATTTATTCAAATCAACGATATGCCTTCAGGTATTCAATTGTAAGTGATTTGCCTTCTATTACTTTTATTTATTTATTTATTTATTAACATAAACTACTGATTTCGGAGTACACACATGAGAATTGAAGTCTTAATGATGATGATGATGATGATGACGTGAGTTTCTAAGCTATTCTGGTAACCCGCAAGCTAGAATTACGCAGCGACTGACCAATAGTAGCACGTTGATATTCTAGAAAGCTCCATCATGCTCTGATTGGCTAGGACTCTTCGGCTCCTTTGGGGCCTCTAAAGGCTCCGTTGAAGTTCTCGAAAAGCTGACTCAACAGTTTGGAATTTAATTGATTCATTGATTAGAAGATTATTATAGATGGGTTATTTTTATGAAATTCTCTTCATCAATAAATTTGGAAAGAAATTATTTAAAGTTTACACAAACTCACATACACACTAAGCTAGTTGTGACAGCTAAGAATGACATCATTAAATCATGAAACAGGAAATACACATGTTATTTGTTGAAAAGTGATAATCATTATCCTCGAATATCTTATAATAACTTGGACATATTCAAAGTGTAATTTCTTAGACGAGTCACATTGATTGATGGGACAGTCCGTTAGTCACTCAGCTACAATGTAGGATCAGGCACATATATATGTATCAGTCCATGTTGCTACACCTCATTAACACAACAAGATGAACATTGAATTCATAGAGTTAGTTACATCAATGGTAGTAATATTGCGTTTTATGATATGATACAGGGAGAAAGAATTAGTTTGTAGAAACAAAGACGTGAATTTATTTTGATCTCATAGTATAGAAGAAGATATAGAGTGTACACATCTACGCCATTGTGATCGATTCTGAGTCATGTCACCCAGTCTCCAATCATTATTGGTGATAGTCCCGAATTGACGGGTCACTGATGACCAACGTCGTTTTTGATCAGTTTTTTTATACGCAACTAATTGTTTCGAATAAATTTCAAACTGGACACTGGTCTAACTGACTTGACATCCGCTATACTATATTTTAATGTTAGGTACTGGGAGGTAGTCCTCAGGAAATCCTACTTCATACATTATTCACTCTTTCGCACTTGTCAGCAACGACTGAAAAGTTCAACACTGACCTCTCAAACTATAAACGTAGATTACGCTCGTTTAAATTCTTTCGAAAAGAACCAATTCTTTTAAGATTGCCAGTATGGCTTGCTAATGAATGTTAACTAGAAAGAGATCCAGACCCAGGGTTTCTTATTGGCTATCTCCAAATATCCGACCTTTACAAACAATTATATGGTCAACCAGTCAGAATATTTATTATCACTATGAGACTTGAAGATCTATAATTCAAACTCTTGTGTTATCATATATGCTAAACAATTAAGAAGTCCATTGTTTCTTGGTTTTCACCTATTGTCTAAGCTCGGTACCCAACGAAATTCATAAAATTCAACAATCCCCGTAAAACCCTTACACTAGTAACTATGTAAGCATCATTCAGATTTGTATACAAAATATCCTAGCTAAGTATTTTTGGAGATTTATAGTTCTTCAAGTGTTCTGATATAGAATTTTATATATCTGTTGACATATTTTATCAGTTACAGTGAAAAGAGATCCGTAAGAGACACATTTTATCTTTAAGAAAACTTTTATAGTGGAACAAATACTGAATGGTTTGTAACTTGTTCTCTCGGATTCTAATTAATTATAGTCCGACTGTATAATTACTGAGTAACTAGGTTTTATGTATATGATAATGATCTTTGAAAGCACTTATCCTACTTGTGAGTAGTTTAAAAAAGCATGTAACAAAACAAATTAATTGATTGTATGGTTTTGATTGGTATCATGAATGGATCAATGTTAGACAACCATTGAAAACCTAGAAGCACTGGACGGCTGTTTCGTTCTAGTACGAGGCTCACCAGCAGTGTTCATGCACGATCTAGCTCTCGAGGCTCAAACCCAGGACCTTCGGTTTCGCTTCCGAATTTCCAATCTAAGCCTAACAATCTGCACAACACTATACTGAGAATAAGATTTACCCGATGAATATTCATTAAGGTTATCAGATATTTCAAGTGGTTTATTCGAGGTTGAAAGGTTGAACTTTGACTGTTAAACATGAAATACAATAAAGTACATAATTTAATTTCTAATACCATTCTCATTCTAAAGATGAATCATCATTTTCATTGCTAGCTGATATTAGTTGTATAAATTCTGAACTCAAAGAGACAATAAACAGATATGTCTTATTTGTTTGCGACTGCTGAGTAATAAACAACTTTGATCCAACATTTAACGAACCACTGAACTCAAGGGTTTGAAAAACATATGATACAGCTACATCATCGAACTGTATTCTCAAATCTGGATTTATGATAGGTATCATTGATGACACAGACTTATTGTCGAGTTGGACCGCCAATCAACTGAACTTGCATATACGAACATCTTGGTAATGTTATATTTTCTTAGGTAAAATGGCCTAATTATGCAGCTTTCAATGTCTCTTTTCGGTATTATCGTGAACATATACTTCAAGTTTGAGCGGGTATATTAATTTTTTTCGTAAATATTAAATTAGTCGAATCTAGTAATGTTAGCGGGACATATATTAGATTAAAGCATCCTGAGTAGATATTTATTATTCAATCAGCGCTAGTCGATACTTGGAGACCAGTCTAGAATCTTCTCATGTAGAAACTATAAATATACTAACGTTTTTCATATTGTGCTTCTTACTTCCATCCAACCTTAATATTTGGAAAATAATCTCTTTCCTGTTCAATCGTGTTCTGATTTAAAAACTTGTCAAGTGAATTGGTGTCCAAGAATACTAGGCAATAAGAATAGCTAGGTTGTAATAAGAAAGAAGTACAACAAGTGAATTTTCGACAAGCAGTACAAGCAGTATTCGGAAAGATTAGGGTTTAAAGATGTTATTTAAAGAGTATAATCCAATGAAATAAATATGGGAAGAGAAATAAAGAGACAAGGAGATTAGAATTTGGAAGAACACAAAGAGTGTATGCACCTGCGCCATTGCAAACGACTTTGAGCCTTGTCATTCAAGGTCTCTAACCATCGGTTGCTATCATCTCGCGGTCCCCAACCAGGTAGTCTACACCTACCAACATGAATCAGTCCACTTTTTAATGACTTCGTTTATTTGTGCCATGTTTTGTTCTGGCCACCCCTAGCTTTCTTCCAACCTACTCCTATACCACTGAGCATAGCACGTCGAGGAAGTCCGTCGTTAAGTATACGTAACATGTGTCCCAGTCATCTCAACTAATGAAGTATCACTACTTCATCAATCGATTTGCCATCCTTACCCAGTACCCGTTTCCTAACAACTGTGTTACATACTCGATGGTCCCAAGATATACGAGCAATGTTTTTGAAGACACCTATGGTCGAACACTTGTAATGTACGAATATCCTCTACTGTTACCGGCCATCTTTCACTATCATAAAGTAGGAAGGAATGAACTGCTGCGCAGCAAAAAACCCCATCATTTGGTTCTATAGTTGTGTATTAAACTATTACTTACCTAAATATTGTCATAATTAACTTGTATATTTTATAATTTTTAAACGTTTTTTTTATAGATTTAAAACTTGGTCTATTTTAAGTCTTAATTTTCATGGAACACAAATGAATCAAATTCCAATTATGTGTTCATTAGAAAATCAGCATGATTATATACTCGGCAATAACAATAATAATGCAAATATTATTCAATCCAACAAAATTTCTAATTTAGGAGATACATCACTTAGATCTAATATGATCACTATTCATCTATTATGTAAGTTTAGTTTTGGTAATATTTTTAATGTTTAATAAATATGAAGATGTTTCAAGGATTTGGAAATTGACAAAACTTTAACCAAGTAATACCTTCTATAATTGAATTTATGCCTATTCAGTGAAATCAAAAGTCAGAATCGAATAGGCTCGAAGATATATTTGATAACTTGTCAATATATCAATAAACGATTGATCTAAATTGGCAAGCGATTGTATAAGAGCAAGGGAACCAATTGCATGAGATTGTATAAGAAGTTGAGCATCATGTTCTCATTTGTGATCCGGTGCGGATACGTGAACTTAAAGTTATGATCAGTGAAACTGTTAAACTTTTAAATAGTTAACAACAGCCATATGTTTTTACATTTTACTTGTCTTACCGTGGCTTAAATTAGTTTTATTTTATATTTCCACGGCGAGACTCTAATTTATGAACGAGCCAATCAAAGGAGTTTGAAGGATTTCAAGGTTGCGCCACCAACTTCAGTGTTTAGTGCTAACGTACAATCGGTTCACATGGAATTTTGTTTAGAAAGTGATAATTGAGCGGCTATAACAAATAAAAAACGGCGAGACTATAACATGTGGACGAATCAATCAGGTATAAGATAATAGATCTCGGATTTTAACGCGAAAGCCTTTCATCCATTTGGTTAAATAAAATTCTGGCATTATAGCTGATGTCAGTTTGTGTTGAAAACCCCATATATAATTCCTAACTGAGGCAAATTATGACAATTATCGCGAATTGAATAATAAAAGTACCAGTAACACTGGCTGCAGCCAGGTACTACAATATACGGACGACAGCAGAGCGTACAGACTCCTACATAGGCTTGGTTTTGTACATCATGTCGTTATCCACAAGTAGCATTCTGCGTACTCAACAACCGAAGTGCACATAAACAATATTGAAGCTATGTCATCGAGGCTGAAAAAAGTTTTGCAACCTCATCATGGCTCCAGAGGCCGACTATTCTGTAGCCGTATGGATGATCTCCTCTACTGCATGTATTATGATTTTAGAACCTGTGAACCTCTTTCTAACTTTGACAAGTTTTTGATCTACGTACAAGAAGTGTATCCACTATATTTCCTTGGTTTTGTACAATATATTTTTTACTCTATGCTAACTATTCGGTGATTGGCTAATATTTCTCAAGGTCACTTCGGATTCGTTTGAAGGTCGTCCATAAATTAGTCTTTCCATTAGTATTACAATAGAAACACAATTATTTGATGAACGCATCTGTCGTGTAGGACATAAGGCAAAAATGCAACAAGAGCACTATAACTGTTTATGTATACAAGTGTAATGAAATTTATTTTGACAAAAGCATCTCAAAAAATTGTTCCGAGGTTTATTTTTAATGAGTCACTAAACTTGTAATTAATAACTAGTTGAAAAGAACGTTTCCCGTTAAATAAGACGCAGTTGTACTTGAAATCAAGTTGTTTACGATTATTTGTAAACTTTCACCATGATTTTATTTGTTTTCATCGATGGAATCCATGTTCAGTTGTCAAAAATCCTAGATACTTTAAATTTTTAATGGCAAATTTTATGCAAATGTTAGAGCTAAAAGAACGCTCCAAGTTAGTGAAGATGCCATAAGTATTTGGAGTTTGACAATACTTTAACCAGTAAGACCTACTATGAATCGTGCCCACTTTATGAAATCAAAAGTCAAAAGTGAGGAGGTTCAAAGATATAATTGATAAATTATCAATATATTAAGAAGTGACTGATCTAAACTAGCTAGCGGTTGTAGGAGACGCTAAGCGCCGCGTTCTCACTTGTGATTTGGTTTGGATGCATGACGAAGCGCCTTCAGCTAGGTGAGTCCATTAAAACCATTGTGGTCATTATCAAATGTCTAGAGCGTAGAGAGCTATTGATTTTGTGGATTCATTTACTGCTATAAGTATTCTGAATTCAACATTTATCACCATCAACCCATTGCTTTAGTAGGTGAATGTCAAATATTGAAGTAGACATTTTGTTGGAAATCGCACTGCGGATGTCTAAATTTATCCACGACTGTCTGTGATAAATATGGCACTGTAACATTTTGGAAGAAAAGCTGAAGTATGAAGATCTATTAATGTTGGATACAGCGCACTTATTGAATATTAGAAACTATTGCTGAAAATATACAAATTTGTCAATTTTATTCTGTGTAAAGATGAGTTTAGTATAATTTGTCACCAGCTAAATTTACATAGATAATAGGAAATAGAAATAGGATAGGTTTACAATTGTTGAATATTTAAACAAAGTTTTAAATACTGACAATAAATCTTATTGTTTAGTTAGGTTCGGATTTTTATTAGTTCGTATATATAGTAGATATAACGAGTGGTCAAGTAGAAAATTGGTTAAATAGTAATTATTTCAATATAATGTTACATTCATTTTGCGTCCAAGTATAGATGGTTAATAAATGGGTCATTAACCATAACTGAAAGATTTAGTTTCCAATAATCATCAACAAATACAAACAGACTCAAGATTCAATATTCATCCCTAATATCGGGGACAATTGTGGTATCGCATTGTAGTCGTTATTTAGTATTAAACGATTTGTTTAGCATAATACCACTATATATATTTCAGACGTATATGTAATGTGACGTGTGCTACTTATATTGATATACGTAGTATATGACGCGAGTCAGGAATGTAATGTCTGGCAGCAGAAGATGGACGAGATCGGGAAAGGAAGAGCGGGTGCTGTCGACCAAGAGGAGCAGTGGAACGTTCGGCTGCTGGTCGGACATCGGATGTAGATGGCTCAGCAGGCCGGTGGAGCACGGGTGTTGAAAGTCTCAGGTGCCGGGTGGATGTCGAATGTTGGTGCCCAGGCAGGTCGACGAGGCAGACTCGACATTTCGACGGAGAGCGTATCACAGACTGCAGAAACGAGGAATGTTGCACGGTGAGCATGAACCACTGCAAGAACGACTGCTTTAAATGGGGGACGATTGTTGTGTGTGCTACTTATATTGACATAAGTAGCATATGATGTTAGTCGTGAACAGAAGGTCTGACAGCAGAGAGACAAGAGGATGAAACATTAAAAAGAATGGAAGGAGAATGCAATTTGTATGAAAATGCGAGAACAATGAAGTCTGGATCATTTTGAGACAACGGATGGACATTTTACAAATTATGTATTTAGTATTTGATTGTTAGATTTTATTAACAAGTCTTGTGATTTTGTGTTAAGTACACTCGATTGTCCCCACTGGTGTTCTGTTCATTAAAGTAATACTTAAACAATAAGTAATGTTAACTCTCAAAGGATGTTGAAAAACTTACATTAGAGTAGTTGAGTCGATACTTGACATAACAAGATTTTTTATTTGTTTTCATTACTTGTGGACTGATAATTATAACTACCAAGAGTTTTATCGTCATTCAAAGAATCTCTTACTGAAACACAATACTCATGTATAAAGAAGTCCTGTTCGACCAAGATGCAAACCAGATATTAGTTTATTTGAACATCAAAAGAGATATAATGCAATACTTCGGTGACCAGTCTGTTTGAAAACTCCTTCAAACGATACTGTATTCAGTTGAGTAGAGTATAGACAATATGACTATATCATCGGATTAATCAAAACATCCAGAGAATAGTAATAATATTGTAAACGTATGTTTAGTAATGTTCTAGTAAAATCCATCAAATTTGGGTTACTGACATCTGGTAAAGTAAACTTTAAGGGTATGAATATCTTTCAGTTTCAGTAAACGTTTTCTATTCAACTGTGGATAGATGTCAAATTACTAGCACTTGATCCTCAGGTTTTTCTAATCATTATTGATTTCATAGGAATGGACAGTTCGCAAATGCTTTTTAAGTAATCAATGTCAGTTGATAAACCAATATAAACCAGAAACACAATGAATACTCATTGAATTCTTAGCAGTTTCACCAACATTAAACCAAAGATTTCAATCAACTGACGTTGAACTACTTATTATAATTTCAGTAGTTCAACAATAGCTCAGTTATGAAAACTTGATTTCGTACTGATATGATAGGTGAAAAATAAACTTAATTATCAGGCATTAATTTCGCATGTTGATGAATGATTCATAAATCTTATCCATATAACTGGTTATCGATAAACGGCAAAACAGAAAGACTACTTCCTTATTCACCGTTATTGATACTTCATTATAAGTGCATGTGAGACGAAGTTTCTGGTTGAGACACGATTATTCAACATTGTTCAAATGCTCACAAAATTGTGTGGATTGATCTAAGAGGGAAAGATGTGATGACTAGAATATAAATTTATGTTCAAATAAATTAAAAATGATCTCCCAGTGCACAGATTTCCATAGAGATTGTTAACATTATTCAATGGTTTGATTCAAATAACTTTAACTGACCAACACTGTCCATCGTTCATTGAATAACCTCCCATGTGAATATGGTTTATAGGTATCATGGTAGTCAAATGCCACAACCAGCATATTTAGTTAACAAAGTTTTAGGGTGGTGGTAAGAGGTAGTAGGTAGGAAATTGTGGACAATTACTTCGTTCTATTTGGCGCTCGCTCATAAGGTTTATCAATAATCTTAAGGGAACTGATGCTCCTTGAAAGATTCGATCCGTATCATCCAGCTTCGCAATTGGGGGCGTTATCACTGAGCTACCAGAGCCGTAACTGACCTCCTGTAGGACTGATATATATTTGAAGGAGCTGGTACTATTTCAATCCCACATAAGTCATCCTAGCCTCTGGATTGACCACTTTGTTCATTCTTCACAAGACACATTTCAACCCCGTCACTTATTTATTTAATAAACCTGATTGTTTTTCTACATGATCATATGTATGTTATTTACTTACAATGTTCATCATGTGTCTGTATGTTACTCTTTTTGGCCGTAAATATCGAGTCACGCTTAGATAAATCTAGTTGACTCACTTGCCTTCTCCACTGCGCGTCACTTTATTTCGCTTCACCCTTTCCTCCTTGCTTTGTTTCCCTGACTGCCTGTCCAGAACAATGTTTGTACAATATATACGTATTCGAAATTTGTTCTCGTATTTGACCTATTTAATCACGTCATTCTTAACGCGATTTAAATCTATATTTATCTCCGAGGGTAGCCGGGATGTATATTTCAACAACAATCAGCGTACGATCCGATCGAAGTAAGGTATCGGGTCACTAAAAGTGGTGATCCTGTTGAAAACATCATCGTGCAATGTAATTAGTGTCAATATAAAGGACCACACAAAAGTGAAATACCCAAAGACGAACCTAACGATTCAAACTAAGTCGATGAAGAACCTTGCGCATTTCATACGTGCCACGAACGAACTCAATGTAGCTTATTCAATCGATAAACATAAATCATACGATCAAATCGAAGAGGCCACATCACTACTAAATATTTACGGGAGGTTGGTCGCAGCCCTGGTAGCTCAGAAATAACGTCTCTAAATGCAAAACTGGATTATACGGATCAAATTCGTCAATGAGCATCAATTTTCCCAAGATTATTGATACACCTTATGGACGAGTGCCAAATGGAACGAAACAATTGTCCAGGATTTCCTATCGACTACCATTAACCATCACTTTATATTTCAAAATGATACATGCTATATTTAGTCCCTTAGACTAGTGGCGACATTCTAAATTAATCACTAGACTTCAATCCGCTATAAGCAGGATTTGACATATATGACACTTGTCACGACGCAGCGATCAATCAATTGTAAAAGTTATACTTCATCCAATTCCTATCTTCATCCTGTTTTTCAATTAGTTTAGCCTTTTACTGAGGATCAGCAAAAAGAGTTATTATACTCATTCGTTAAAATCTGCTTCTCTTCTTCTTCTTCTCTATTCAAGTTTTCAATGAAATCTTGATCTATATATTTGAACTGTGAAAAGAGTCTGTTATATCCCGACAAGAATAATGAATTTATGCACCAATACTATGCGCATAATTGTTAAGTAACTAAACTATTCATATTCGTGTCCTTCTTATTATGAGCTTTATTTTGATCTATGAACTGTTATTATACGATTTACCATTCTTGAGTTATACCCAGTCTATCAATTACTAACTCCCCCATTCACAGCCACATTGGGCTAATTCTTGTATAAATGTTGTTTCCTATTTTAAGGTACAGTGTGGTCTGCGTGGTTGGTATATAAACTCAGTATGTTTGAAATATAATGATTCATATTGCAGAGGCTGAGATTGATGTTCTGGACTTAACTGGTTGAGCTAGGCAGGAAAAAGGGCCGATAAGTAATCTCGATTGCTCGTACGTGTTTTATGGGTCATTGATCGGATCGATAATTCACTTCTCTCTAATTAGTAGTATCATCATGTTATTCATTACCAGAGCATACAGGTCACAAGTTATAACAGAGTCACATTTGACAATAGCATGATTAATTATCGAACGAAATTAGTCTCTGCATTATACAAGGACAACTACTTTACAATAGTATACTTTTTATAAAACTTCATGCATTCTCCTTAATTGTCAAATCCATTTACCAAAATCTTTGATACCTTTTAAACAAATTTCAAGATGGATTACTCATTCTAGTAGTAATAATGATAATAATGACACTAGTTAGTTTCAATATCATTTACTTGTTGACAATTAGGAATTCTCAGAATAGATTAAGTAATATGATGATGAAATTCTCGGGCATCAGCCTCGTGGTTTTCGATGGAATTAGGCTTTCATCATGAGGCGTCATAACTCTTTCAACTGACTCCCAGAGCAGAGTTTAAGTAGTTCGAATTATTTTTTCTGGTTAGCGCTTTTTTAGCGAGTTAGTTTTTTACAGGATGGACTTGTCAACTCCATGCTCAACCCTCCTTCTTTATCCGGACTTGGGACCGGCAGTAGCCCCAGAGGGGCTCCAGGCAAAGTTACAATCATTAATGTTTCTATGACATAGCTTTTTCATCTTCAAATGTATTTAATGTATCAGTTCTATGGTAGATGCGTCATGTTCCTACATATAATGGAGATGTAGAGAAGTATGTGAACCATTGTCGTCGTGTAAGGTTTAGTTAGAAGATCCTCTATGTTCTGTGGGAGCATAGAGAGCAGCGTTACTGTAGAGAGCTGTAAAAGCGAATTACGACAGAAAAGGTGATTTGATAACCCAGTAAGAGAATTAACTATACTTACATTGAATAAGGAACGTAATAGACAACAAAAAGGAATCATATAAGACAATCAGGAAATCGAATTTAAGGGCAGTCAGATTACAGTGATATTCCTCAAACATTCCAATAAACAGATTTGCAAGAGCTTATAAAGCAACCTTTTTGTAACCAGATATACATGCTTGGAAGTATAAGATCGTTTGGGAAATTTGTCAAGAATCCCATAACTCGTTTGTTTAATAATAGTAATGTTAAAGAAAACTATTGATTTTTCTAGTTCTGTTCATGTTGGAAATTCATTTTTATTTCAGATATTGATAAAGTGTATATAGAAATCTATTCAGATCTAAAAACAATGTATACGTCATCTACTGAACATTCAATGATATTGATAGAGAATCGACCAATTCAACTTGGATGTTTTTGTGAAAAGATTAATGTACCTATTCATGCAAATTATGAATACACGTGAGTTGTAAATTATCTACTACTGTTTCTTGACAATATCAATATTACTAAGGAAGACAATGTAAGTAGTAGAATATTGACAGAAGTTACTATTATCAGAAGAGATTTTGTGGAGATTTTTAGAAATTTCAACAGTTGAAATCAAGAGTCATTTGGAGCTAGACCACCATGGAAAACCTGGGAGCACTGGACGGCCGTTGAGTCCTAGTATAAAACTCCTTAGCAATGCACATCCACGATTCTGGCCCCCGCGAGATTTGAACCCAAGGCCTATCACTTACAGGCTCGAGCGCCTAACCATTAGACCACAGAACCGCTTCTGCTCTCTTATAACTGACTTCAAGAGGCATTTCCTGGAGTTCTATTGAGAAGCCGTTACAAGTGGAGTTCAACCAGGCCTGTTGTGAGATATCAACTAATTCAAGAAAATGGTGTACGGTAGCTCAACTCCGTGCATTGGTTGAAGTTAAACATTAACACCATTGGATGCCGGGTGACTTAATGATCTTGAGGTTAAGCGCTCGCACGTGAGAGTGATAGGTCTCGGGTCCGAATCTTGGGTTTGTGGTTGTTCATTGCTGAGGAGCTCCACAATAGAATGAAACGGCCGTCTAGTGCTTCCAGGTTTTCCATGGTGATCTAGCTTTAATTGACTCATGATTTCAACTATAGAAGTTAATATTATTGATTATGACTATAACTTTGAAAGTAACAGGAATTTAAGAGCTAATTGTCAATTATCAACATGGATATCACCTTATCCACTTATTATAAATTCAATTAGTTTGTGATACTAAACTTTTGAAGAAACATCTCATTCATGATATCTCAGTGGAATTCCATAGAATGAAGCTTATCACATAGTACCTGTATGGTGGATGGTACTTATATTGACATAAGTAGTATATAACGCGAGTCAGAGATAATAATAATAATAATTTATTCTCAAATAACAGATTGTTACATGAGGCATGCCAGTTTACAGGCAAGATCAAATTGATACAAATGATAAAATATACACTGTAATAAATTACATAGCTGAGTTGATAATTTATAAGATATGAATATCGATGGTTTGAATCAGTACTACAGTTGGCGCGCTTCATGAAAGTCGCGTTGCGAATGTGCGACTGATGGTCAAGGATAGGTCCATTGAAGATATAAGCTTTTAGAAATCGCAACCTTATTTCCTTCTGGGATATCCAAGGCTTTAAGGATGGTGCAGGATGAAGTCATCCGTTCCATATCTTAAGGAGGCTGAAAGAGGGAGCAAGTAAAAGAAAACACGAGAGGCAGAGTAGCCAATATTCATGAAGGAATGCTTAAGGTATGATTACTCAGTCTAATTTTCCTTTATTAAGGTATATGTTAAGAAAGAGCATTTTAATAGGTTGAAGAAAATAAGTGCTGACAAGGTGTGAGTTAACATACAACTGACAAATGGGGGCGATTCGGAAAAGAGCTGAGAGCATAAGATTATGTGTGATTATAAAATAAAATATAGTGCTAGAAACAGTATTGTGATATACAATTGGCTGTCTTCTTTTTATTATCGAAGCTATTAGAGCCCCTTTCGTTTTTTTAAAATGTTTTTGCCCCAGTTATTATAGGGTCTTGATTAGGCTTCTTGGTAGGACTCTAATTTATGGACGAGCCAATCAGAGGCGTTTAAGGAGCTTCAAGGTCACGGCGCTAAGTTCAAGGCGAGATGCTCACATTCGATCGTTTTACAGCAGATTTTAGAGAAGAGGTGATTGTTGAGAGACTACAGCAGATGGGACTATTAAGAAGTTCCTGTGTTTGTGACTGCGGCAATCAAATGGCCGCAACACGATGTGCTGATTACCGTGATGACATTGTATTTCGTTGTGCTATATGTTGGAGAAAAAAATCTGCTCGAACTGGCACTTTTTTTGCCCGGTTGCAAATTGGATCATAAAGTCTCCAGTAACATTATCATCAAGATGCCTCTCGAGACTTGGTTTTGTGCATCATGTTGGGGTGCACAAACGTCATTTTGTTGATCCAACGACGGGAGTCCATACAAACAATATTGAAGGCATGTGGTCAAGGCTGAAGTATTTTTTAAGACCCTACCACGGCTCCAGAGGACGATTACTATGGAGCCATATGGACGAGTTCTTATACCGCATGCACTATGATTTCAAAACTTCGGAACCTTTATCAAACCTTAACAAGTTTTTAAATCATGTAAAAGAAAAATATCCATTGTAATTCATCAGTTTTGTATAATATATTTTTACTTTATACTAACTCTCTTCTGATTGGCTAATGTTTTCAAGGTCACTTAAAAATTCGTTCAAAGGTCGTCCATAAAATAGAGTTTCACCGGCTTCTTATATTAGCGAATTGTCTAGTTTGCTTGTAATAGGATTTCTGGGTAGGAAGTGAAACCAATTCAACGTTCGTAACACGACATAAAGAGGTATTTTGCGTGAATAGATCAGCTTCAACACCATAAGTTCGTGGCATCCCACTAAACCATAAGGAGCCGTAATTAAACAAAATGTTCTGCCCTACAGACATGGGTGGATTGAAGTTATCTCCCCACCTTCATGTTTGCTGGTCAGTAACGTCACCCTCCCTCTCTTTGTGATGTTAGGCTCTCTTACGTTTGTGGTAAGTATGAATACTGCTTTAATGAAAGCCCATAGTTGGAATACACTGTCTCTACCAGGTCCATGTTACAAGCGAATCAGATAGTTGAAAAAGCTGTTTTATGGGTTAGATGTCCACATAGCATATCATACTGCTATGAAAATAACTAATGGTTTAAAGAAGTAAGGACTAATAGCAAATCAAAAGATATGAGAGGGTATAAAATCGTAGAAAAAAATTTCAGGGTAAGACAAATAAAACGTTGAGAAACTCACAAGACGTTGTGGCCAAATTTTGAACTTTGAATGGTCGGCCTTAGTAGATCAGCATTCATAAGATTGAGCTATCTGTCTACTTGCAGTGGAATAAAAAAAAAGGCATGACTTTTAGGAAGAATAATGTACATTCAACCTGTAGAGATTTGGGAACTGAAAGCTAGGGTTAGGAGCATGAAGTCATGATTAATAAACAATGAATAATAGGAAAGGATAAGCCATATGTTCTGTGATTTGGTTATATTCATATTAGTAACAGTTGGACTTGTTATAATTTTGTTCTTTCTAGATACTAGGCGGTCCGTAATAAAGTGCCTCATTGGTGGGCGGGAGTTCAAGGAAATGTTGAAGCTCTTTGGAGTCTAGAAATAGGGTTATTAGCCTTTTGAATCTGATAAACGTATCACAATTACGGATAGGCATTGGCAGCCTGTTCCACAATAAACTGTACCGTACTGTAAAGAACTTACAACGCCATTGATAACTGCTTCTCACTACAACTCCAGGAAATACCTCCTCAAGCCAGTCACTAGTGAGCATATGTTGAATAATATCAGAAGGGGGTTTTGTGAATATTATAGTAATTTTAACAGTTGAGATCATGAGTCAATTGAAGCTAGACCATTATGAAAAACCTTAAAGCACTAGACGGCTGTTTCATCCTATTGTGTGGCTCCTCAACAGTGAGCATCTACAATTCCGCCACACGAGATTTGAACCTGAGACCTATCACTCTCTCGCGCGAGCGCTTAATCCTATTATCACTAAACTGGCCGGCATCCAATGGTGTTAGTATCTAACTCCAACCAATCCATGAAGTTGCGCCACTGTCCAGCATTGTTATCAGTGAGTTACTATCCCATAAATTTTCAATATGCCATCGATTTGCGGTGAGTTCAAAAAACAAGAAAACTTTGTTTTTCTTATCAATAAACTAAGCAGTGAAACTTGGCCGGTAAGAGTAGAGGATATTCGTAAGTTACTAGTATTTGATCATAGGTGTCTTCGAAACATTTGTTGTATATCCTGAAACCATCGAGTAAGTAACGCAGTTGCTAGAAAACGGGTACTGGTTAAGGATGACAAATCGATTGATGAGGTAGTGAAATTTCACCAGATGACATGGCTGGGATATGTGTTACGTATGCCCAAACACCGACTGCCTCAACGTGCGATGTTTTATGCTATAGGATTAGGTTGGAAGAAAAGTAGGGGCAGCCAGACCAAAACATGGCACAAGTCCATGAAGTCACTTAAAAGCGGACTGAGTCATGTTAGTAGGTGTAGACTACCTGGTTGGGGACCGCGAGATGATAGCAGCCGATGGTTAGAGACCTTGAATGACATGGCTTGAAATCGTTTTCAATGGCGCAGGTGCATACACTCTTTGTGTTCTCTCAAATTCTAATCTCTCGATTCCTTCTTGTCTCTTTTAATCTCTTCCCAAATTTATTTCATTAGATTATACTCTTTAAATAACATCTTCAAACCCTAATCTTTCCGATTACTGCTTATACTCTTACTACCTCTATCACTACGGGATTTGAATCGACCACTGCATCTCCGTGCTAATGTGGTGCGGCAACTCGGACTGGCGTACTTATGAAGTTCTACGTTGTTGATGACTGACTAACTGAAACTAAGCATTTGATTGAAATCCTACAATATATTGTATGTCTTTTTTTACTGGTTATTTTGTAATTACAGATTTTTTATTCAAATGTCAAATAATACTAATCATAATGATACATTATTCAATATAAGTTCATTATCAACTATTCATCAAATCAATAAACATTATCATAACACTATTTTATCATCTGGAATTCTTTCAAAATTAATGATATTACATCATCAATTGAAATATCATATCATAGAATTTGTACCACATCGAAAATTTCATAGAGGAAGAATCTATTGTCAAATATTGATTAGAATGAAAAAAGATATAATCAATAAAATTGATTCCATGGTATCTGAGATATCATCTGAGGCATCATTGAAAAGTTGGACAAATGAAATTTATAATGTTAATAATGATATCACAAATGATTCTGTAGATGATCTAGTAATGATTTCTTCAATGGGTCATATTGATTTAAATATTTAT